CTTGCCATGGCAACTTAAGATGTTCAAAAACATTTCCAACTTAAGATTTTCAAAAACATGGCAAACTTGCCATGGAAAACTTAATATGTTCAAAAGCATGGCACACTTCTTTAATTAAGTTATTCAAAAACATGCCAAACTTCTTTAATTTAGATGTTCAAAAACATGGAAACTTGCCATGACAACTTAAGATGTTCAAAAACATGACATCTTAAGATGTTAAAAAACATGGCAAACTTGCCATGGAAAAGTTAATATGTTCAAAAACATGGCAAACTTTTTTAATTAAGTTATTCAGAAACATGGCAAACTTCTTTAATTAAGTTGTTCAAAAACATGGCAAACTTCTTTAATTAATATGTTCTAAAACATGGCAAACTTGCCATGTCAACTTAGGATGTTCAAAATCATGACATCTTAATATGTTGAAAAACATGGCAAAGTTGCCATGGCAACTTAAGATGTTCAAAAACATTTGCAACTTAAGATTTTCAAAATACATGGCAAACTTGCCATGGAAAACTTAATAGGTTCAAAAACATGGCAAACTTCTTTAATTAAGTTATTCAAAAACATGGCAAACTTTCTTTAGTTTAGATGTTCAAATAAATGGCAAACATGCCATGGCAACTTAAGATGTTAAAAAACATGACATCTTAAGATGTTAGAAAACATGTCAAACTTGACATGGCATTTTAAGATGTTAAAAAACATGACATATTGATGTTCAAAACATGGCAAACTTGCCATGGCAACCTAAATCAGTAATTTTATAAATGTATCTTTTACCATTGCAATTTCAATTGGACCCCTATGGCAAATTTTAATTTCACACCATGGCAATTTTTAATTAAGACCCCATGGCAAATTTACATGTGCATTTTTGTCATGTCAATTTTTGTTCATAGTTTTGTGTTGATTTACACACTCGGCAGTTTTCTCATACAAAGCATGCCAATTTTAATTGGAATATGATGTTGGCAAAATTATATTATGGCCTATGGCAAATTTATTTTTATTACCATGGCATTTTTATTGTTTGAACTATGGCAAATTCATACTTCATAATACGACAAACAAATTGTACAAGTGTGAACCCTTATTAGCTAAGTTTCCCATGATATATAGAACATTTTCCATCAAAGATTGACACGGCCAATGGCAAAAACTTTTAAATCTACCTGTTTTCTCATTTAATATCATATTGTGAAACTTTTCCAGTGCATGTTGTTTTCTCTGTTTTTTACCATGACAAATTTATTTTTATATTCTACGACAAATTCATCGAGTATGCCATGAATTGTTTTTTAATTGTGTCATGACATTTTTGTCCCTGTTTTTTTACTTTTCGTTTGTTGCATGCAAGTAATTTATGTGTTTGAAAGATGCCAAAGTTTAAGTAATTTTGATCTATTGATATGGCATTTCTCAGAAATCTTTTTGTACCATCCTATATGTCCATTTTTAATGTGTTTTTTCACAATATGAAGGCAAATTTTTGCACACTCATATGTCACCAAGTGTGTTTGAACATCATGGCAACCTCCTGAATTTTTTTTTGTAATATAACTTCTTTTCATAAATATAGGTTCTAAATATATGGTATTTGTTCATTAGAGCATGGCAACTTTTTGTCGCGTACTATGGATTTTATAGATCATTCAAGGATAGTTTTCTTGGTCCAGTGCATTTTTAGGCCTATTTTGTTTCTCTCTATTTTTTTGGAGAGGCAGTACCAGTTTTTGGGCCTGCAGAAAATGCAATTCTTTTTTTTTATTCTTAATTCATTGCCATTTTTGGGCTGGTCCGTTCGATCCATTGGGCTGGCCCGATGAAGGCGAGTGGGAGAGGTAACGAAATCGTTCGTTCGGTCCTCTCTCCTGGATTTAATAAAACGTCCAATCTAATTCCTCCCCTCCCTAAATGTTAGGGTATTAACGAGGTCCAAAATTGAAGGTGTGATTGGTCGGCCAATGGTGCATTTTCACGGTCCTTGCTTGCCCCCGTTGAGAGTCTTCTCGTGCCTCACGTCTCTGCCCCTCTCCCTCTCTCTCTCTCCGGTGGTTCTGCCGTCCGACGTGAGGATGGGTTAGGTGGTTGGCCTCCTGTTCATAGTAGTTTTAGGTTTAGTAGTACTGTGAGACTTGCCTCCGTGGCATTTGGCTTTATGCCGTTTTGGATCTCTCCATCGACGCGTCCGGGCAGCGTCTGGTGGTCTCCGGCTGCCTCCCAGGCTTGTCGTCCATGGTGGACGGAGGCAGTTGGGAGTGGATCTGGCACGAGCTCTCTTCCCCTAATAAGCGCGAGGTCTTCTCAGATATCGAGGATTGCCCTCTGCAGCAGCTTGCTCTTTCAGGTCACTTTGGTCGTGGATGAGGAGCAGGGGTGTTGCAGATACATGAAGCTTGCAGGTCGTGTTCGAGCATATCAGCAACTGATTCCATGGTGGAGCGACGGCGCCCTTGGTTGGCTGCCGGTCTCCGCTGGCTCGATGCTTCTTCTGGCTAAATGGCGGCCGAATCCATTCCTCCCGGCGTGTGTGCCTTATGGAAGGCGGATCCAGCTGCGGTTTGGAGGCCGTGGTGTGCAGCTGATGCGGCCATGGCGATTTCGTCACGCCAAGTGGTTCGTCCCCAGCGGCGGCGAGGTTCAATCCGGGCGGTGGCTGCTAGGGACCCGATCGCGTTTCTTGCTTTCTTGCTTTAAGTTCACACGTTCGCCAATCCCTCATTTTACACATGCATTCTTATTCAAACCCGGAACTTTTCTTCCATGTGTTTTTATAGAATCCCACAGGCCAAAGGAGACTAAAAAACTGGAAAAGGGATGGTTTTCAAAATCCAACATAAGACATCTCCAACAGTGACCCGCAAATTTCCTCCTACATCCGCCCGTGGAAAGGGGGCCCAGTCCACAGACACGGATACCGAAGGCCGCCATCCAACCATAGTCGCATACATTGCAAACACTTTTTCAACAAATCGGATGAAATTTATGCAAACATGGGCGGATTTCATATAAACATGACATATTTAATACAAGACGGACAAAAATGGTTACATTTTGGACATGTTTTTAACTAAAAGGATAAATCTATGTGCACGTACGGGCGCACGGAGCTCCACTCCGGCGACATGGATATACTACACTAGTCTATGATCGGCCACGGAGGATCACTTTGTCTTCCTCATGGACAAAGGGAGCCCCAGATGTATATTCTTCCCTCGTATCTTCACTATGTCCGGTTGCACCGCTCATCGAGGTGACAAAGAGGGTGCTTCATCCGGAGGGGAAGGGGGTCCGCTTTCGTGGAGCCCAGGATGGCCTGACAATGGTCTGAGATCAAGAAGAAACCGGACATGTCACCGGTTGTACAAGCCGGCGATGGCCATTTTGGAATCCAAGCAGCGGCGGCCTAACATATTCTTCTTTCCCTCGATGTTGCCAAGATGGACGCGACATCCACCAATTCGTCGATCTCCGTGCAACCGACATCTTTCTCTGTTGGCAAGGCATGGTTACGTTGACGGCGGATGGCGCGGTCGCAGGCATAGGATGCGCAGTACGACGCGATGTCATCCACGGCGCGACGATGCCTTTGCCATCGTGTCGTCCTGGAGCAACTCGCTGCTCCTCCACGAGCTGGCTTGGAGCGGCGAAGTGCTGAACCACGCGCCAGCTTGGGGCTGCAACTTCCTCCGTCGGGCCAGGTGATGAACCCCAGCCGACTTTTATGCCAGAGCACTGCTCTTCCTGCTCGTGTGGAGCCATAAAAGGGTGAAGAAAATGGTGAAAGGAGGAGATGGGGAGCAAACTTGGTGGTGCGATTCTTGCGCAACGTTTGGCCTCGTTTAAATAGATGACAGACAGGAGGAGCTTGCCTGGCGTTGCGTTTAATGTCGGCCCGCTCGTGAACGGGCATGTGGCCGGGTTAGGTTCCTCGGCTTCCACGCGGGTTTAATAAGGCGTTTGAATGCGACGAGAAGGCTTGCTCAGCCGAGCGTGCAGCAGGCGGCGCCTTCGGCCGGCTCACCGCTTCAATGGCAGATGCAGCGAAACGTCGCGTCCGCCCTGAGCCGTCTTCAATGTGGAGCGGGCCTTTTACAGTGGCATGAATACGGGCAGCTAGCGCTAGGCGGGAACGCGTGCGGGCGAGGAAAAAGAGGTTTGGGTGGACCAGGGCGGTCAGAAGCCGGCACGAGAGCGACCGGGACTCCCGCAAAGCCTCCTAATTTGTCTTAGTTTTGCGGGAGAAAGTACGTGCGGACCACGTTGAATGGACCGCATTAGATGGCTTTCCATATGATGTTTGGACAACGTGATCCGAACCCATGCGGGAGGTTTGCGGGTCGGCGACGACCACACACACCCACATTCGTGTAGTACCTCCCATCCGGAACCACCTTGACACGCGTTGCACCAGGGACACGTTAGGTGCTCCCGAGACCACACTACCACTACACTCCCTGACGCACAGGATAGCTGGAATGATTCTCCACAGAGCCACACACCACGCGAGACGTGACGACGGCTACGTGAGTCTCACTCCGCCGGGTCACTCTCCGGTCCAGTATCCAGCTAGTAAAAAAGCGCAAAACAACACGGCCCGGAAAGGGAGCGGCCACACCGTAGACGGTAGACGGTAGACGACTAGACGGGACGTGTGGGCGAGGCCGTCCAGCCGAGCCAGAGGCCACCCGCACCGTCCGTTCCCGCGCCGCGCCCACACCCCACACCCCACACCCGCGCTCGGCCGTGCTTCACATGGCGGGCAGAGCAGAGGAGGCCAAACCCAAGCCGCCGTTCTTCTCCACCACCTGATTCATCTCGCCCGCGCCCATAAAACCGACGCCCTGCGCTACAACAACCTCCAACAACCAGTGTCAGCAACAACAGTCCCCACCGCCCACAAGACCCTCAACTGAATTCACACCACGCCGGTGCCGTAGTCTCAACCCAGCTGCTCGTGCCGGTGCCAGCGGCAGCGAGAACGAGGAGCGATGCTGGTCAGGAGCGCGTCCACGCCGGTGCTCGGCGCGCTGCACGCGGCATCCGGGACCGGCGGCCACTCCCCGGCCGTCCACTTCGCCGAGTCCTCGCCCACGGTCGCCTACCACCCGCCGGCCATCTCCTGCAGCCTGTCCGCCGGCGGTGGCGGCGGCTCGGGCTCGGACCACGACCGCTCCCGCGGCGGCGGCCTGCGCCGCGCGTGCTCGGACGGCAACCTCGCCGCGCTGGGCGGCCCCGCGGACGACCACCACCACCACCTGCCGCCGCGCTCCAGGCCGGCGCTCGAGACGATCCAGTCGTTCACGGCGCGCGACGGGGCCAGGGACGAGGAGGAGGAGGAGGACGACGACGACGCTGACCAAGAGACGAGCTTTGGGCAGTTCGGCTTCGGCAGCACGTACGCGCAGGAGCACCCGCTGTTCCTGGCCAGGGGCCTCGGGATCGACCGGCTGGGCTCGGGCCTGCTGAGCGCCGACTGCGGGGGCGGCATCGACGGCGGCGCCGGGGGCAGCTACCTGGCGGCCTCCGGCGGCGGGGGAGGGGACCGCTCCGGCATCGAGATCCACTACAAGAGGCTCATCGGCGAGGACCCCTGCAACGGCCTCTTCCTCAGGAACTACGCGCAGTTCCTCAACCAGGTACGTACAGTACCACCCTCGCCGCTCTGCTCCGGCGCCGCCATTGCCGCCGCGGCCGGCGACTGCAGTTCAGAACTCAGATCCGGAGATGAATGTTCTAACAAAGGCGCCGGCCGACGCGATGATCGGAATGTTGCAGGTGAAAGGGGATCGGCGGAGGGCGGAGGAGTACTACTCCCGCGCGATCCTGGCGGACCCCGACGACGGCGAGCTGCTGTCGGAGTACGCGAGGCTGGTGTGGGAGGTGCACGGCGACGAGGAGCGCGCGTCCAGCTACTTCGACCGGGCGGCCAGGGCCGACCCGCACAACAGCCACGTCCTCGCCGCGCAGGCCGCCTTCCTGTGGGACACGGACGACGGCGCCGGGCCCGAGGACGACGATGCCATGAGCTACACCGGGTTCCCGGCCGCTCACCCGTCCATGGCTTCCGCCACCAGCTGAAAGAAAGGAACCTCGCTGCCGTGCCGTCCCTCTCTGAAGCTGACGTTGATCGGAGCTCGTGTGGTTGCTTGCTTCAGACCTTCAGTAGCAGACTACCAGTAGCAGATTCCCAATAATTGTACTGCCTGCTGTAGTGAACAAGTAGATTTCGCCGACCATTTCCAGTGCTGCATTTCGTCAGTCACTGGTTGGTTTACTGCGTTGCATTCCTTGAAACAATCAGTCTCACACCACTATGACCCGACTCAAGTGCAGATTCAAACGAGTGATCATCAAACAGAGCAAATTGCCAGGAAAATCTAGCCACAGAGTGGTCCTATTCAAATGTGACCCAAGATATGGTCCAGTGGTGTCAAGCCTCTGTCCCAGAGTTACATAACACACAGGCTGAAACAAACTTATTACCCAACCACCACCCTCATGTGGTTGCACTGAAGAAATGTCACACAGTACATATTGATCACAAAATAAACAGGGGCAGGATTTCGACGGATCTAGCAGCAAGGTTTCTCCGGCAAAGAAATCTGATCCCTACTTTCTTCCAGGAACAAGGCAGCTGCAGATGGGAGCAACATGAACTACGCTCGAGGCCCGGTCAGAGATCCTTGACGATTTCGATGCCCATGGACTTGGCCGTGCCGATGATGGACTTGCACAGGGCCTCCAGCGACATGTGCTTGCAGAACGGGTCAGACTGCTTCAGCTTCGCGATCTCGTAGACATGGCGGAGCGAGAGGGACGTCACCATGTTGTGGCCCGGCCGGCTGCTCGCCGTCTCGACGCCCGCTGCTTTCTTGAGGAACCATGAGACCGAGGGCGACTTGACTACAAACTCAAAAGTGCTGTCCTTGTAGGCGGTCAGCGTGACTTGCACCGGAGTCTCCGCCTTGTACTTCTGTGTCCTGGCGTTGAAATCCTTGCAGAAGGCCATCAGATTGAGCCTGTAGAAACCCAGAGCTGGCCCGACAGGCGGTGCGGGGCGCGCAGCTCCAGCAGGAACTAGGAGGCGGATTGTCGCTAGAATAGGCTTCCGTGTTGCCACATCTTTAAGTGTTGCCATGTTGCTCTCCTTTAGCAGATCTGCAGTGAAAACCGGCATCAATCAATATGACAGGTTTACTAGGAACTACTTATCTCAAGTTATCAGTACCTAGTGGGATATAATAAGTAACTGAAATGAATATCCACTCAAAAGAGTAATTTAAGTGAAGAACAAACAAAGATTTCTGAAACAAAATGTTCTTATCAAAACAAAAGGTTTCTGAAGTAAACTCAAAGTGTTCTTAGTCCGCCTTCTTAGAAACTTGTCACTTGAAAAAGGTGTACAATTTCCAACAAACAAACTATGTGACGAACAATGGATGAACAACCATGCAATTTGTTGCAAAAATGTTCCCACATAATAAACTTTTCCTAAAGAGACTGTTTTAGTAAAGGGGGTTTCTTCAGCAAAAGCATGTGTCCAAGTCACAAAATGTAGTCTCCTCAGTTACTTCCCTCCAATCATTACCCTGAACTAAAACACCATTTAATAAACATAGCATAAGGCTACGATAGGCTAAATAACCATAATTGTATGTCTAAGTTACAAATTCAGACTTCGTCAGTTACTTGCCTCCAATCACTGCACTGAACTGAAAACACCATGTAACAGACATACTATAAGGGCAAGATATGTTAAATACCCACTAATTGTATGCCCTTTAGCACAGCCATAGGAACATAGCACAACACCTCCCACTTGGGAAAATTCAAACTACTAAGAACTTCCTAAAAATAGGCATGCCACAGCCGTTAATGTCTGAACTGTAACAAAGCAGGTACAGAAAAAAGTTCTTCCAAGCAATGTAATGCTTCAACCATGTTTCAGTATCTAAATAAACAAGATTCTACAATGAGCAAAGAAGCAGGTACAGAACTGTAACAAACCTCGTGATGCAATGGTATCTAAATAAACAAGATTCTACATTCACATTAAACACCAACTATCTGCAGGTCATTTTCCTGTAAATTGAGAAAAACGAGAAGGCTCCGGCTCTTCACCCCAAATGAGCAAAGAAACTGTTTTTGGAGGAGTTTAGTTAACAAAGGCATGCATCTAAGTGACAAATTCGGACTTCATATGTTACACACCACCAATCGTTAGTTCATTACTCTTGAACTGAAACGACACGTTGCAAACATACATTAGGCAAAGATATGCCTAATACAAAATAATTGCATGTCCTTTAGCACTGCCATAAGCATATAAAACAACACCTCCCGCCTAGAAAATACTACCAACTATAATGAGAAACTTCCTGAAAGTGGCATGGCACGGCAGTCAATTAACAGTCTGGAACTACACTAGCATCTGCTGATAGCCCAGGCAACGAAGCAAGTACACAGGACAAGGTTCTTCCTAGCAATGTAATGCTTGCTTGGAGCCAGTTTGAACCGAACCTCTTGGTGTGGTGGCATCTAAATAAAAAAGATTTCTAGATTCACATTGAACACTAGCTAGCTATCTGCAGGCTGTTCTCAGGGATAAAAAAAAGGGTCATGGCTGACCCCAAATTGTGACCAAGGCTGAAACAGCCTATCATTTTATTTTAACCCAAAATTCTCACTGAAGCTACTACTAATAGGCAGGTCAAATAATTTCTTGGCATGATCATGGACATTCTCTAACACTGAAGATGTAGCAGGGCACGGAAAACTTCACAAAGAATTTCAAGTCTGCCGCCAAGAAGGAGCACTCTCTGCAGCAGGAGTTCCAGCACGGCGTTCCTTCAGATCTAAACACGCAAATCTATTCAGACGCCATGGATGGATACACGCCAATGACATGAAGGGGATACCAAAATGGCGGCATTCTTCGCGGCCGCGGGCGATGGGCCAGAGTTTCTCTCGGGACGAGAACCTGAGTTCCGATCCCGTTGTGACGGAGCAACACTAACCTGCGTGTACGTCGTCCGGTCGCCCGCCGCCGTAGTTGCCGCCGGCCAGCCAGCCGCCTGCCGCACGGGGAGCAAAGCACGGACGAAGGTTGGAGAATGACTGCGGCTGGGCCAAAACCCTAAATCGGCCTTCTGTCGTCACATTATGCAGACCCAACAAGGGGAAGGAGGGCCGGGATGGGCTGGGAGTGTACAACAAGGGGAAGCTAGCCCACCAGAGCAGAGTGGGCCGGCCTGGCATAGTCGCACGAAGAAATGTGTATGTTGCTTTTCTTTTTTTAAACACAGTACAAACGCGACACTCATACATATGCACACACATTCATCCCCCCCCCCCTCAAAAAAAAATGCACACACATTCATCCCTATGACTTGCATGCACGCACGCACACCTTACCATATAAGCAGCTCGTCTTGAGATTGACGAAGTCGCCACATACGCCTTCGTAGTCGCGGAAACTTAAACCCTAGTGGGCTAGGGATAGCAGCTGTCCTTCTAACCATCCAATCACAGATTGGTTCACATTTTTTAAAACATTTCAACCCCCCTTATTAGATGGTAATCAAAGTAGCGTCACTTACTAGCACAGGTGTGATGGCGGGCTCATCAAAAAGCACTAGGGGTGAAAATCTAGCAATTCTAACCAATTCATTTACTACAAAATTTTCTTCTCTATGGCAGTGCTCCTACCGAACTTGAGAAAAATCTTGATCCATGTGATAACAATTGTCAAATATTGCTGACACCACCCCCGAGAAAAAATGAGTTCTATATGGAAGTCGAAACCATGATACTTCGCGAGAGATTGTACAGTCTTGTGCATAAAGTTATCAACTTTTTTCATAATGTTCTCAACTTTTTACGACACCCTATAGGGGTCATATAATGACAGTATGACACTATGCCAAGTTTCATAATTTTTGGACCTCATTTGCATAGTTTCTTAAATCCCAAAGCATTTTGCTTATTTTAATGGCTAAAAATTCATTTAATGCGCTAAAAATAGCAAGCCAACCCAAAAGTGTGACTTGACTATATTTATGCAGTAAATACAACCCCACAATAAAATAGAATACAAAATATAGCTCAAACAAACTAACACCATATGATTTGCAAAAAGTCCAAAAAGAAACATTAGTGGCGGGGAACTAAGAGTACACGACATTGCTAATATTTTTCACTGTTGGGGTTTTTTTGTCGGCCCGCCACTGGTTGCTAATACCTCTTTGACACTTGACCAAAAACGCAGGCGGCCAACCCAAACCCTTATTTCCACAGATCCCCTTCTCGTTTTCCTAGTGAAGAGCCTGCTGGCTTGGTCATCTCGTCGACACCTACGTCCAGCGCCGCCCCAGCCCCGTCCCTCTCATCTTCCTCGTATTCCCCTTTTCTT